ATTACTCAAGAGTAAAAAAGTTTAGTGTCTGATCAAATTATCAGTCATTTAATATTTAAAAATTACATAATCACAGACAAAAAGTGTAACTAGTTACTACCCAACTCTGATAAAATCACCAAGTGAGTCCAGTTCTCCTTGGAGGAAAACTGTATCAGGCGTTTCCTCTCATCCACTAAATGATTGAGACACAAGTGAGGTGAAAAGGTCACATTTATTTTCTCATATGTTACTTTAACTTCTTATTTTGCATCATCTCTTCCTTCGCCTCCTGCCGTTGTGGCAGGCAGACTGGACTGGGAGACAGTAGATGTGCATGGGAAACGTCCTGAAGTAGCTGCTCACCCAGGGTCTGCAGGAATCACAGGAAATGTAAGTGACTTTTATGAAAATGTATAAAAATTCAAAGCAATGTTGACGCATGTTCAGCTGTGCTGTGTCTGTAATTACTTGGCCACCCGCTGGCTCAGACTCAGGAAACACAGGTTCTGCCACAGCAGTTTGTTTTCCTGTTGACGGACAAACTGAGCTTCCTGCTGCCGCGCGGCGTCCAAACGCTGAGACTCCCGCAGCTCTCCTTCAATCTGCGTCAGCTGGGAAACAGCAGCAAGAAAATGAATAAATCCACTCTGGTTAGGTTTATGACAGAGAGCTACGACCAGGTCAAGAAAACGATGTTACAAAAATGAAGTCAGGATATTATGAGAATAAAGCATAATATCCCGACTTCTTTCTTGTAATATGACGTTATTCTCTAAATATTTTATTTGAGAATAAATATTTTTTATTCAAGAATAAAAATATTTGAATTATGAGAATAAGGCAATTCTCATAATTTTATACTTATATAAGTTCAACTTTATTCCAGTAATATTATGTTACTCTCAGAGTTTTTATTCAATAATAAAATATTTATTCTCAAATATTTTTATTTGAAAATGAAAATACTAAAATTAAGAGAACAAAGTTATTCTCCATTTAATGACATTTTACCCACAATTTATTACTTAGTTTTTTGGTTGTGTTTGTAATTATTGTTTTTGTTTAAAAAAATACAGATTTTTCTTGTAAATAAAATCTTGGATCTCAATGTGAAAATATTTATTTCATCTCATAACAAATATTTCCATTTTATTGACATTTACAGAAACAAATTTTCATTTTGATAGTTAAGATTTTTTGTAATTTTTTACAATTAAAACAGAAAAACTTTGTTGATCACAAATTGATTTGCAAAGAAAATAAAAGTCGAAAATGTTCAAAGGATGAACACTTTTTAGTGTTTTTAAAGGCTTAAAATGCAGAATTGGTTTGAAATATCCAAATGTTATGATGTTAAAACATACAACCTTGTGCAAAAGTTCTGGGTCATGTCTTTATTGTTTGTTCATTCCTGAAATAAAGTTTTCATCCTTCACTTGTCCAGATTTTCTCTGTTGGCTGAAGGAAAAAGGACAGAAACGTCACCTCCTCCAACAGAGTCCTGTTCCTCTCCAGCTTCCTTGGCTGATCACAAACAGCCCGAGGAACAGAGTTGGACCGAAGCCGAACGTCTCGTCTCTCTGTCCTGGTCACACCTGGTTTCCCTGTTCCACCTGTCTGCTGCTGGGCGATCAAAGGCAGGAAGCCAGTGCTATCAGACCAGGAGAGAGAGAGTGATGAGTTCATATTTCACCTCATCGTGTTGTCATGTTGTTGAACAGCATGTGTGTGTGTTGACTGACACTGCTAATAAAACCTAAACACACACAACCGAATCCTCTCCAGATGTAAACCTCAGTAGGAAACAAAAATACATTTTAAAATATTGAATATGATGCAGCCTGATGCAGAAAACCCCGCAGCATCCTGAGTGTTTTTCTGACATATTTTGACATTCCAGGACACATAAACACAATTATAAAGTCAACCTTCTATCACCTGAAGAACATTTCTAGGATTAAAGGACTAATGTCCCAAGAAGAGAAAGAAAATTTGTCTTTAGTTTCCTAACTCATCAGTCAAAATATCAAACTGTTTTGAGTAAAAGGTCACTGGGGATTTGTGGCCCCACTTACTACAACATTAAAATAAAACACTGGTTTTTTCCCTACAATTTTCTATTTTGGATGTAAATTTGTCATTTAAAAGTTTGTAGAAAGAGTTACACAAAAAGTATCCATCTGCACCATTTAAACCGTCCCTAAGTCGATCCGAGGGCCACTCAGAACTACTCAACGGACCGCAAATGGCCCCTGGGCCACACATTGGAAACCCCTGCTTTAAACCACGACTAAAAACCATATTTGATACGCAATGATGATTTAGATGAAGGAATTATACAAAATGTCACGTTCATTTCTTGTTTCATAATTGGTAATTTTGTTATATTTCATGTGTAAAGCAATGTGAACGGCTTCATAAACGCAAATAAATTTGACTTAAATGGGTTTTTAACGTCAACTTGATGTAGAAAAATTCAAACTAACGTTACAAACAGAAGATTTTTTTTGAGAATTAAAATTTGACAAGTAAAATTTAAAAACTGTCAAAACCGTCACATTTAATTATTAAGTATTTAAATCAGCCTGGTTGGAGCAGAGACACTCACTCTGATGCAGAGTTCAGTAACTTTTGTGAACTAAATTACTCCACTGTGCTTTGAGTAGTTTTATTATGAAGTATTTCTTCTCTTATTGAGTAAAATAAAACGCTCTGATGTTCAGTAGAAACTAAATTCTTTTAGCAGTTTGCCCCAAAAAGTCCTAGGAAGCAAATATAAAGAATGATTTGCTTCCCACAAACAGAAAAACAAACATGTTTCAGATTTGTTTCCAGATCCATCTGATCAGGGTAATGTATCCCACAGCCGAGATCCGCCAGAGTATCACAAACACACGCGCTTATCAAATTCATCCGACCCGACCGAGTTTCCGTCGCCGCTTCAGACGGCAGCAGGTCTGCAACACGCGGTTACAAAATCTACCTTCCATCTTCGACGCTTTCTCTCTGTAAACCAGCCGTTCAAAACTCGCTGTGACGGTCGGGCGGTCCGATTCGTTTACCTGTGCTCTCTGCTTTCATTTTCCTCCTGGATCTGAGAGAGATGTCTGGCTCCCATCCTGCCCTGCAGCAACAAAAAGAAGAAACAAACACAAAGGATACAGTGTCAGTTAATTACAGACGGAGAGATGGAGGAGGAGAGACTGTTTCACCACAACGTTACTGCGGTGACAGGAGACCTCTGCCCATCAGTACTGGGGCTGATAGACGACACCAAACGACACCAAACACACACACACACACACACACACACACACACACACACACACACACACACACACACACACACACACACACACACACACACACACACACACACACACACACACAATGACAGCTGAGTGGAGATTAGTTACCTTTATCCTCGTAGGAACCGCTACACCTCGTTCTTCTTTGTGAGGTTTTACTGGAGCTGAATTACGGTTCTCCGCAAACAAATTAATATAAAAAAACACAACATTTCTGCAAGCAGAGGCCATGGCAATCAAGAATTTAACAAGATTTGTATTTTTTATAAAATAAGAATTAATATTTCTGACAAATAATAAATACTACTTGACCAGATGTCAAGTACAAATCTGGGCAACAAAAACAAGAAACACGTAAAGACCCAAAAACTTGGAAATTGTCTAAAGTCTTTTTTATGTTTAATTGATATACATATTTCATAAAAATGATGTTTAATGTTGAGCAGGTAAAAAAATTATAATAAAAAAAAGTCTGTAGGTTAAATTTGATCATTTTGAAGCCAAGGCAAAAAGTTTGGACACTGCAATTAATTTAATGTTTGTGCAAACATGAAATTAACCTGAAACAATTATTAGAAATTAGTGTTTAGTCTTTAGAAACTAATATGCATAGGTATGAAATATGAAATAAAATCAGAAATATCAGTCATCAATCCAAACATCCCCCATATCTTAATTGGTAATTTTATACAGCAATAATATTACAACAACAAATATGAACAATAATGAACTGAATATTAAACTAGAAACTCTGCGTTTCATGCAAAAGTGCAAGTGTGAATGTTGAATGCTTTTGGTGAAAACGGCAAAAACGTTTGAATCGACTGCTGAAGACTTGCAGAAAGGTAAGAAATCGTCCACACAGTGTGAAAAACCCAGATAAAAGACAAAAATAGACAAAACTAGCTAACTAATGACACCATCCAACATGCTGGGTTACAGTAACATATTCCAGAAAATAAAAAAACTCCTGTAAAAGCTAAAATTTGAGAAGGACAGAAACGCCAACACACCGACACCAGGTTTAGGATTGCTGCTACTTACAGGGTCCATTTCTGGTCCCGTCTCGTTTCCTTCCCGTCTTCAGACGAGGCGTTTCGCTCTGAGGACTCGTTAGTTCGTGCAGCTCGTCCTCCACCTGAATTAGTCATCAGTCTGCTGGTGAGTCATCAGCTCAGGTAGATGACATCATTAAGAAGGGAAATACAGAAATTTATTTACAGAAATCCAGAAACAATTTTACCAAAGCTCTGAGTATGGTGCCTTCTTACTTTGAGAAAGAAATGCTAATAAATGAGCAGCATTCAGATTGTTAGGTAGTTGAGGCCTCATCTTGGTTGAGACTTCTTTAACATAAACAAATAAATCAGTCTAATTGATCAAAAATCAAAGTGGACACTGAAAACATTTAAAGAAATATCAAAAATAACAATAATTACATTATGCTGATAATTTAAATAAGCTGTAGGAATAATGAAAGAATAAATTTCAAGACCAAAACTCCAAACAGGTTCTAAAAAGGTAACTTCTATGAAAACATTAAACTGATTAAAGGTGACCTACGAAAAAATGAGCCCTTTCAAAAACTTTCAAAAAGTAACAATCTGTAGGCACTTTCCGTTACCTAGCAACCCCCGCCAACAGCCCGTTACCTAGCAACCCCAGCCCGTTACCTAGCAACCCCAGCCCGTTACCTAGCAACCCCAGACAGTTACCTAGCAACCCCAGACAGTTTGGTCAGCTAGTTTTACGCTTTATGTGCTTTTCCCGTGTTTTGTTGTTGACTTGCCATCCAGAATTAGACAAATTAAACCGTCTTTTACATCCAGATTATTCTTCACTCCTCTCAGTCCTAAAAATCTTCTGGTTCCTAAAGTCTAAATTAGTTGCAGTTCTGTCAGTCGAGTGAATTAAACGTGTAAAAAGTGAGAAGTTTGCATGGTGAGAAAAGCTCTCAAGCTCGTAAAACATCATGCAAAACGCAAAAAAAATTAAAACAACCATGCAAGAACATTTAAAAATACTTTATTAAAGCAGTTGGGATTCACTCATAGAAAAGATTAAGTTAAAACTTTTACATTCATAAATAACTCATGACGTCACTATATATTTCTTTTAGGTAACCACAGCATCTTTGTATTATTTAGACTCAATCCCATTTCATCCAGTCCACACAACTGCAAAATTGTGTTTTTTCTTTTTACATTAGCAGAATATTGTAAAGGTTTTACGCATTTTTGTTATGAAAATAATGCTGGTGTCTTTTCGAAAGGTTTTGTTGCTTCCTTCAGTAGTTAGTGGTGCAGCGCCCCCACAGGCGAGGAGGGGAACAGGTTTTACAGACTGATTCAGCGCAGTGTGAAAGTGAACTGCAGCAGCTGAAATATAACAAATGTTGCAATCTTATCACCAGTCAACCAGTTGTGAAAACGCACTAATTTTGTCTAAAATGTCAGAAATTATTTCAATCAGGAGGCTTTCAGAAACTAAACATCGCACATAAACAGAACAAAACATCCAATAAGACCAGAACCAACCCAGGTTTACATCAAAATGATCCACAGAATCTGGGTCAGTGAACATTTACAGGTCTGGATATGAAATGGGATTGGGTTTCAGACATCCATGTTTGTATTTAACAATTTATAAAGTTGGCATTGTAATTTTACATTTGTTAAAAATATGTTTTCTGCCATTTTGTACTACTTTAGTCTCACAACAACAGAAACATCAACTAATTGAAATATTTTAAATAACAGATTTAAGAGATTTGTTTCTTTAAGTGGCCAACAGAAGTGTAAACTGCTAACCAACATTTCTAATCTCATTTCTAATCCCCTCAGCAAAGATTTATCAATCCACAAATTCATAAACAAAGGAAAAACGTTCAAGTGCTTCACTGGGGAAAAAGATACAAACAGCATTTTTAAAATTATTTATTTTGTTTTCGAGATCAGCAAAGCAAGAAGTGTCCAAAACAGATTAAAAGTGAGAAGTTATGTAATCTGAAGATTTGCCTTCCCTTCACAATAAAACGCATTTTCAATTTATAAAAAACAAACAACATTACAACAGTGCAGTAAAAGTTTTTGTCAGTAAAAGCAGAGATCTGCTGAATGAGATCATTTGTTTAAATTAATTTTTGGGAAGAAGCTAACGTTTATGTCTTTGTGCAGCGTCTGTAGAAGTGGAAGTAATAATCTGTAAATAGCGCCCCCGCGTAGTGGTGGTCAGTACTGCAGTTTGCTTGACCCTGGAGAAACATGCAACAGTTAAAAATATTTCCATGGTTTAAATATTTGTTTATATAAATTATCCAAGGGATCTTAAAGCTTGTAATGAAATTGAAATTTGTCAAATATAGTTAGCTGCTGTTTAAATTAAATGAAAATGCTTAATTTTTCTGATTCTCTTATAAAAATGTGTAGCGAGCTATTTGTGATTTGAAACAGAAATAATTAGTTTCTTACAGCTACTGAGGACCGGAAGTGATATGAGCTGTGCTGAAGCCGAGCCACATGAAGAGGCCACTCATGTTCCCCCTGCAGAAACAGACAAATCAATCAAATAAGTCAATTATTTTTCAACTCTATCCACTTTGTGGAGCAATTTTACCTTTAATGCATGAAGAATTTTTTAGTTTATATGAATGAAATGTCTGTCAGGACTCTGGGGTTTTTGGGTTTATGTCATGGTCTACCTCTATCCTTCTTCTGATTCTAGTTGGTTTATTTCTATGTCCTTCTAGTTATTCTAGTTTCTCAGTTCCTTAGTTCTTCTTATTAGATCAGTCTCAGTTCTTTTATGGTTTCTCCTTGTGTCTTTGTCTCTTCCTAGTTTATCATGTTTCCTCTGGTCTTGACGTTTCTTCACTGTTATTTCTCGCTCTCTTGTGTTCTCCTGTGCATCTACCGTTAGCTGACTCTGTTACATGTTAACCTATTTAAAACTGAACAACCTGGACCAAATACATAAAAATCTTCCACAGAGGGTGAAGTCAATTTCTAAAAGGTTTTTCTATTATTATTAACCAGTTATACACATATTTTCCAAATTTTTAGTGTAATATTAAAGCTTATTAATACAGAGCTGCAATAAAAACAGAAAATGTACCTGTGTATTTGATGGGTACCTATGTTCAGAGTCATCGTCTTCTTTCGTTACCGCAGAACAAGGGCTGGTCTCCTCCACAGCACATAGATGAACCACCAACAATTCAGTAGAACTGAAACATAATAAATAACATTTTACACAATTAAACAATCTTCAAAGAAAGTAACTTAGTTTACTGTTAACCAGAAGTCAGTTAAATGATGTCAAGCTTGGATCATTTATTATTTAACAATTTTTTTCAAAGCAGCTTAGTTTACTATTTGGCAGGGAGCAAAAAAAAAAAGCTACTGTTGATAAACAACAAACATATGGTGCTAACTGGCTAACTGCTGTTAGCTAGCCAATAATAATATGATTATCCTTAGATTAATATTTAAAATAGTATGATGTCACATACTGTATAAGGCCAAAATATGACGGGAACCATATTACCTTGAAATATTGTTCAAAGAAAGTCAGTATGCTATCAGCCTAGGAACAAAAATACCTCTGCTAGCTCACAGCAGCAGTATGATGCTAACTAGCTAACAGTAAGTTTGACAATTTTGTGCAAAATGTTTAATAAACTTCAACTTCATAGGAAGCAGCCACCGTAAGGCCACAGATCTGATCTGATTCTGGGTTTAAAATGATTTATTAGGGGCATTTTTATCCTTTGGCAGCAAATTAGAAGCAGCTAATTTTACCTTAAGCTAAGAAGAACTTATTAGGAATTTGTTGATGCTGACAACTTAAAGGCAGCTGAAGTGTGAAAAGGTTTCAATATTCTTAAATCTGTCAAAGAAAAAGTTGAGTTCTTACATGAGAGACGAGGAGTTTCTGTAAAATATTTAGGTAAAATATAGAAATTAGTTTTATTTTCTGTGCTTTGATTCCATCAGTCCTTACTTCATAAGCAGCGTGACTCTCATGTTGACAGGAACAAACTGGCTGATAGGAACTCTAAAAACGTATCTCTCAGGCCTAAACAAAACAAAACAGACAGAAATGTTACTACAGCTAGTCCAAAGAAGCAAATTAAGATTAATTGTTGATTTATCGTTGAATGTTTTATTAATCTACCTACCCACATTCATCCCTCATGCAGTATTTGCTGTCAATCACCTGGTCGTTCTCTTTGATAATGAAAGTATGAATAGTTGTGTTTCGCCCTGATGGAGAGAAAATAGTTCATCAATCACATCAAACACAAAGACCTATGCTTGCAAAATGATAGTGTTCATGGGGTATGAATACTTTTGCGAGCTTCTTTTATTTTGAAAACTTTACATTAGTAATATGTGATACTCACAGTCTCCAGTAGCTTTCAGCTGCTTGATGTTTTCTGCTCCTGTTGAACAAAAGCACCAGCCTGATTCTGCTCTTTCATGATGCTGTTCATCTGAATAACTCATCCGGGTTTTCTGGGCTGCTGTTACCTGTTCTTGTTGAGTTTCTGGCTGGATCAGAGGTCGGCCTGATGGAGAAAGCGCTGCCCGCTGGAGACGAAGGGCAGCAGAAGACCTCATCACAGAACAGCAGCTCACAGAAGCTCACGTCAGGAGGCCAGGAGCCAGGAGGCGTTGTTTTTGAGACTGGAATTGCTGTTGTTGAGACTGGAATTGCTGTTGTTGAGACTGTAAGTGTAACTTCTGGTTAGCATATTCACTTTATTTTCTTGCTTTATTTAATAAAAGTTTGGGGTTTTTCATTTTAGATCCGCTGCAGCATGACGTCATGCAGATCCCGCCCCCATCTCTCTGCTGGAGGGAAAAGCTGTTGGCTGACGATGACTAGCATTGGTTTCAGCTGTCAAGTTGTCAAAATAAAACACTAAATCTTAAATGTAAGCTTGGTATATAAAAGAAAAAGGGACACAGTGTTTTCTACTAATTGCCAACAGGACAGCTAGATAACAAGGCCAGAAAAATGTTTGTTATTAAGTAAAAACTAGCAAGGGAGAGCGAAGCAGTTCAGTTGTGCTAGCTTGACTATGGCAACCTTAACATGTAGGTCTACTGTGGGATTAAATGTGTTTCTGTTCAGTTAAACAAAGGCGCCTTAAACACCCACTGAGACAGATCATCAGTAGATAAGATGTTTAAATTAGGTAATCAACCAATGCAGTGTTAGCTTAGCTTAGCAGCGGTAGCTAATCTGCTACCGTGATCACTCATTAATAACCTCAAAATAAACATCAAGCCAGAAAACATAAAACTGAAATGGATTGAATGTTCTGTTCTTGAAATGTTTGAGTGTTTCTGATGTTAAATCCTGAAACATGAAGTGACGTCAACGTGTAGCGTAGCAGAGAGCAAGAAAAAAAGTGGCTTTATTTTATTCTTCAACAGTTTTTTTGTTATTTTTCCCTTTGCTGTTGCACTGCACTAAATTAATAATACTGTCATCTCCAGTTTTTATTAGATTAATGGGATCATTCTAGGGCTGCACAGTGGTGCAGTTGGTAGCACTGTTGCCTTGCAGCAAGATGGTCGTGGGTTCGATTCCCGGCCCGGGGTCTTTCTGCCTGGAGTTTGCATGTTCTCCCTGTGCGAGCCTGGGTTCTCTCCGGGTACTCCGGGTTCCTCCCACAGTACAAAAACATGACTGCCAGGTTAATTGGTCCTTCTAAATCCTCCCTCGGTGTGAGTGTGTGTGTGCGTGGTTGTTTGTCCTGGTTGTTTCTGTGACCTCTCCAGGTGACTCCGCCTGTCGCCCGGAAAGCAGCTGGAGAGGCACCAGCACCTCCCGACCCCGTTAGGGAGAAGGATGAACAGATAAAGGATCATTCAACCGCAGCAGAGCAGCTATGGCTGGTAAGAATCGTCCTTTTCATTTTATTTCTAATAACTAGTTAATTTAGTTTTAATGAATTTTTAATTAATGTGTTTGCTGGTTCTATTATTTATTACTTAAATAATGTTTCGTTTTTATTAGTAGGTCTTTTTTTTTGATACTTTGGTTCATTTTTAGGTGCAGAATTCAAAACGATAAAAGTATTATGATTATTGAGTGGGTGATGAATACTGAGCAGATACTCTTTTGAAATATATATAATCAATTATTGTTGTAAAACTAACTGACTTGTATTTTCTCGCATCTTTTGCTGTCGCCATTTTGCCTCCAGGACGAGTCTGGAGTACCGTAAATTGTGAACAGCTGACAGAAACAGTTCTCAAAACTAATGAATGGATTCATAAACATAAAAAAGAAGATTAGTGATAGTTTCTATTTATTTCAGTTAACAAAAATGTTTCCTTAATTTCAGTTTTGTTAGTTTTATTTAACTACAATAACCTTTTTACGGACATAAATATGGGCAATGAAGGATGACTGGCAATAATAATATCTGTAAAGGTAATTTTGAACAACAATAAGAAAATCTAAGCAATAATATTCATGAACGTTGCTTGTAAAAAAGAAACAAGTTTTGCTACATCTAAATGTTTGAGATCATTAAATACTTTGAGTATTTCCAGACTGATTTAAGTCGAGAACGGTACCTGTAGTAGGTGATTCTTCTGTCCACATTGGCGACACAGTGCTGGTGCTAAAGGAAAAAATACAAAATAAAATAAAATCACACAACAACATAAAGGTATCTGTATGGAAATTGTATGTTTAAACTTCCTCTTTGGAGAAGGCTGATAAATATAATCAGTTATTAATCATCTAAATGTTTTTTTAAGAAAAAAATTGATGGCTACCTGTTAATGGGACGGATCTCAATGTCTACCGCCTTCAGATTTACCAGGTAAAGAGCTGAAATGGAGATTATACTGCAACCAAAAGCACAAAAATCATTTTTACTTATATTTAACTTCGAATAAAAATGCAGGCAGTGGCATAACTTTCCTCACCAGATAGCCGTAGTGACCAGGAAGGTAAAGAGGCTGGCCAGGAAGATTTTATTCTGAAGAAAGTGACTGAGTTTCTGACACCAGACACCGTTTTTCTGAGTGGTTGCGGTTCTACCCGGTTCTGGGGTTGGTGGCACTGACCCGCTACTGTTGACCTGAGCTTTACTGCTGGAGAACAAACAAGAACTTCACCATCTATACATCAGCAACTGTTAAAAACCTCAGTAACATTTTTATTTCAAAAAGTGAAATGCATTAATTAAATGCTAAATAGATTCATTAAACATGAAGTGATATATCATTCTGTTATCTCTGTATGGACCTAAATTGGGCCCAAAATATTTATTTTAAAAAATTAAACAAAAAAAAAAAAAAAAAACCTGAAACTGAATAAAATTTAACAAATAAAAAAATTAAAAGCAATTGGAAAAAAATCCAAACAGAAACAAATTAAACATGAAAAAGATTTGAAACTGAAAGAATAAATAAAATGTATCATTCAATCAGAGAGGTATTTACTATTCAGATAAGTAATGGTGACTTTTGCTGCAGCTTCAGTTATAGACGGGGTTATGTACTGCTTCTAGACATATAGATTATGGTATGTGTTTAGGATAAGAAAACCTCTAAATTATCAGGATAAATAGGAAGGTAAAAAGGTGAAAATAATTTGCTGTTGCCTCTTGACTGTCCTTGACCTGCAGTACCTGAGTAAAGCACCCAGAGTCAGGCAGCATCTCGTGATGGCAAGGCGGATCAGGATCAATGTTTTTGTCTAAATTAGATGGTTGAAAAGCTGCAGGAGAATTCATAAAACCTGTCCTTGAACTGCAACGTCCTTCAGATTCTCTGCAGCCTCAGTTATGCAATAGAGTCATTTTATCAGTTTTTCCACGCTGCTGCATGGTTACAAGTAATCTGACTCTGGACTTAGAACCGCAGCTGATCAGAAGTGGGCCAAAAAAAAAAACACATAAAGCTTTTTCTGACTTTAATTTTATTAATTTGTGCCACTAAAATGTCAAATGTTCAAAAACAGAACAAATATCCCGGATCAACCTGACTGGACCAAGAAGCAGCTCTGTTACTTTGGCATCTCCATGTTTTCTGCTGCAACGGTAGATTTGTTATTGTATGGAAAACCAAAAGTGTCTAAACCCAACATGTTAAGATGTGAAAATTGTAAGGGTACTGAATTATGCATTAAATAAATTACATTTATATAAAGAGAATTTATATAAATTTATATGAATGAAAATTCATATAAATGTGAATTTCTATGTTTTTCCATAAACTACATATTACAATCAATCACAACTTTTAAAAAAGTTACTTGAAAATATAAAACTTTTATGTACCATTTATGATACACATTTCCAGTGGTGGACACACTTCAGCTAATGCACTAATAGCTTCGCTAACATTTTGTTTAGCGGTTTTGCTAACTTTTAAAACATTTAGCAAACTTCACTTCCCGTAAATTAAATTCCAGCACATTAATTTATTGGCTGTTTCGCAAACTTTCAGTTGGATGAAGTTTGACATCTGTGTTGAAGTTTTATTGAAGTTCTCTTCATGCTTTTATTTTGAAGTCTGCCTATGTTACAGTTCTGTTTCCTCTCCTGACATTCTCTCTCATATTTAAAAAAAGCTTTATTTAGCAAGTGGCAAATGTTTGTGGCAACAAATAAACAGACTGAAGCACAAGTTGTACAGAAAGATGCACAACAACACATTTGGCTCAATAGGAGGCGACGTAACACATGTTATCAACATAGTTGAACGTAAAGCTTTAGCAATGAATTCAGCTAATTATGTTAGCATATCGCTGTCAAGACTATTGTTCATGACTAGCGGCTCTAATTTTTTTATTTAGCATCGCTAACTATAATGTATTTACTTTTTAATTTGATTCCCTAAATTATTTCCTTTATTAAGTTATAAATTCAAAGACTTTTCAAATATATTGAATAAAAAATCTTATCTAATGTTAAAAGAATAAATCACATTGCGCAAACATTTAGCATTAACATTTGTTGGACTGCCGTTTGAGATTAGCGTCACTAACTTTTTAGTTAGCAGCGCTCACTAAAGCATCATTTTTAATATGATGCCCTGAATGACTTCTATTATTAAGTTATAAATTCAGACATTCAGAGGTGGAGGCCAATCTCGGATGATCTTTTCTTGGCCCAGTTAAAGCTGTCAGTTGATAACTGCCTGTAATCTCGTTCATCTTATTATTAAACCCCACCTTTACGATAGTTTCTCCTCTCCAGCTACAGATGTAAAGATTAGATAAATAAAGATGAGTACCTGCTGGAGCGCAGACTTCCTGTTAAGCTCTTCAACTTTGCTAGTCTGCGGTTCCAGACTTCCAGCTCCTGGATGCGAGTTTCCAGGTTGTCCGTAAGCTTCGTCAGCTGCTGCACAGCTCCCACGTTCTCCATGAAGATCTGCTCCTGTAATGGGAAGAAAGTGATGTTAAGGCTGTATTTAATAACATGTTGTGAATTTTCTTCATCATTAGTCGTTAAAGGTGACATATCGTGCTTCTCAGCATGGCTTTCTTGGTTATTTAAAACCTGTTTATTGCATTTTTGCACAAAATCATTGTTATATAATTAGATTTTGGTCAGTTCGGAATGAGCTGCTTTAGGGCGTCTTGTCTCTTTAAATCCAAATAAGCTGCTGCTGGTCACGCCCCCAACTCAACATTTACTATCACATTTAAAAATGGCTGCAAACAAATGCTCAATTATACAACTGTACATCTTTGAAAAGCAGAAGTGGAGCCTCCTGCCAACCAACAAGAATGTATCAAGTGGTTTCTGGGTACTAAGTTAACAACAAAATACTTGTATCTTCCAGCAGCCATTGTACAGCACACACAGCGGTAAAAACAGCTGACCAAACATGCTGGAATTCAGGTTGGGTTGCTAGGTAATGGGTGGAACGCTGTTGGGGTTGCTAGGTAACGATGCAATGTGACTTAATAATTAGGAGGCTTTTGAAACGGCTCATTTTCCAGACAGCATAAATCAAACACACATTGCCAAAAAAATGGCCGAACTGTTTTTAGAGATCCAAATGGAAGTGTAAAAACGCCCAGAAAGTGAATTTTAAAAGTAGGTCCCCTTTAAGAATTGCACATTTGAATACAGATAATAAATGTAGAGACACCTTATCAACCATGAGGAAATTTTCTATCACTTCTCCATCTGAGCAGATGACGTCGCCGACGTCCTTGACCGCCGATGGAAGCAGCTCCTTTACCTCCTGAGCGATCACTCCTGAAATGTCACATGATTTTAATAAATATGAAACATTTAACCCTTTAGAAGCCACAGTGTATCAGTTCTAGCTGTGAATACCATCACCTGTCTGATGGGTGTGATCTATTCCCATGTTGGAGGCAAACTCTGGCCTGTAGTCAAATTCAACTATCCTCATCTGATTGATTCTCTTAAGCAGTTGCTCAGAGTCGACCTAAAAGACAAAATTATTTCACTGAACTCACAGAATTTTTGTGGGAACCGAAAAAGTCCGGCTTGTTTTGTCCGACCTCCTGTACGTTCTGCTTGGCTCGGTTGTCAGACGGTTGCATGATGGCACCCATCACCTTAGCATTTCCACACACCACCAGGGCTTCATCTGGGGAGTCGGTGTTGATACCGACCCGACCGTGACAGACTGCGGCGTCCGGTGCTGACCCACGCTGCCACAAGGTGTCGCTGTCCGTCTCAAACTGGCCTGGATTGGATGCCTTAAGGCGTTGGACATCAGTTTAATTCACCAGTCACAAGTAAGGCTGGGTGATAAGTCAACTTCACTGATTAACAGAATTGTTGGTTTTTGAAGATTTCATTGTAGGAAAATCTGGATTTTTTAACAGCATTGAGCTCTTTGGGCTTCCATAGTTCAGAGAGCACGCCCAGGGCAGCCATCTTGTTTTCAGCTTCTATCTTTTTACACTTTGAGTTTAGGTTGACTCTATGACGGACTACTAGGTCCAAGCTGCCATTTTTTATTTTAATTATAAGAATAAAGTCATAATATTACCAGAATAAATTAATCTTCATTATTTATTAAAACTATGTGTTTCTTGTAATTTTTAGAGATTTTCTGGAAAAATTCCATTTTATTTTGCTAATACTATGACTATATTCTAATAATTAAACAGAAATTCTTACAGTGTGACTTTAACACTTATGTACAACTCACAGGAGAGATAATTGAAACAAAAGCCACTTTCTGAAAATTTTTCTCATTTGCAGCTACTGTTTACAAATAAAGAAAAAAACTAATAAAACTGGAAATTTGACCTGGTATGAAAAAAATCAGAGATTTTATTTTTAAGCCATATCTCCCAGCCCTATCTGTAGGATTGATTATTTAAATATTGTTACACAGAAAGTGGTTTTACCCTAACAATAATCCTCTCTGACACCAGGCCAGTCAGAAGAAAAGTCTCGTCTTGGACGGCAGCGTAAAGGCCAACCACCATCTGAAAGTACCTGCACACATTCACACCATTAGCATCTATTTCCATTGTAGCTCATTGTGTCATTGTGCCTGCTGTCAGACCTCTGGTCAGGGTTGGGTTTGCCTTTCTTCCTCATGTTGTTGGCCGTTGTCTCGCTAAAGTGCAGTCGTCCAAGAGTTACTGTGGTTATTTTGCCACCAGGCAAACTCACCCTGGATGATGACAGAGACATGTTTTAACACATCATTTTAAGGTTTTCTGCTTTTAATCCTACAGAAATTGTATTCAAAAAGTGAAGAAACAGAGAGATGAGTAAAAAATGATGCTCTACACCCATCAAGCTAACTTGGTTAGCTTGCTAGCCGCTACAAAATTTTAGCTCAAATAAAGCTAAAATTTGAAAATGTTTTTTTAATAATTTACTATTTTTATTAAAATAAATGTTTTATAACATTAAAGATATTTATATTTTAAGCAGTAAAACTAGCCTGGCTAGTTTTGATGCTTTGGCTTACAAAACAGCTAGCTGTTATGCTAGGTAGAGTGCATTTATTTTTGCAATTTAAAGAAAACATAAAGACCAAGTTGAAGTTTGTCATGGAAAACATAGACAAAAAATGTTCTGGAACAATTTTCTCTGGCTAGTTGGATAAAAGTTTAATTATTTGTACACCATGTTTAGGATAAACGAAATGCAGCCTTCCATTCTACCAGTTAGCAAGCAAAACAACCACCTGCTATGCTAGCTGTAATTAGCCTAACTGTTATTATTACTCTAGATGAGTCACAACTCAGATTTCATAGCAGAAAGTGAGAAGGACAAACTTTTCTCAACTGCGAAATGTGTAGCAGTGAATGTGAAAAGTAAACATTTGCTCTTCAAATTTGCTGATTGGTTTATGAAGATTAATGTAGTTTTAATCCAAACCTGACGGGGTGGAAGGGCTTCTTGCTGCGGTCAGGTTGAGACTGCTCTATCGTCACCTCATGGCTTGGTGTTTCAAGCTGCAAAAAATACAGTTTTGATTTATATTTGTAAGTACTGGAAGGGGAAAGTGTAATTTCTTGAAAAAAAAGATGCTGTGAACCTTAATCCCAAACACTTTAATCTGGAAGTGGTCGATTTTCTGCAGATCGCTGGCTGTTCTGATATAATGCGGCTCTGCAGCCACACCAATGTGAACTGTGACCTGGAAGTGGTTCTTCTTCTGGCACACAAAAGCCTCATCAGATGGAGAATAGTTAAAGCCTTTATCTGTATCAATAAGGTACTCAGGAGACGCCCTAAAACAGACAAAGCAACACATTTTCTGTTGATTTGGTGCAACTTTCACAAGGTTATGAGTTGCCATTGGTAAAGTTAAGTTACTCAACCAAAAATTAACAGCAATGACTTGGATTATTTAGCCTCCGATGAGAGAAAAAATGGGTATTAAGTTTTCATAAGTCATAATGTTATTCATAATGTTAAACATATAAGTTTCAAACTATATGTTTAGTTAGCTTAGTTAAATTAACTATGTAGCTCCAAACTAAATATTTAACTCCAACCTCGAAATTTAGTTTGCAAACTAAGTATTTAGCTCCATAAAGAGCAATGTAACTAGCTCCACACTAAATATTTACCTCTGAGCTAGCTTACTATTGAGCTTACCAACTAAATATTTAGCAACAAACTAAATACTTAGTTAGCAAGCTATACAGATCAGAAACTAAATATTTAGTTATCTCTGAGCCACCCTAATAGTTAATTTTCAACCTCACTATTTAGTTTGCTCTAACCTAGCTAGATATTGAAGTAACAAACCTAATTTTGCTTCCAGCCGTTAGCTTGTTACCTAAAATATTTAGTTTGTAGCTAAATAATTAGCTGTAATTTTTGACTGAGTAATTTCATGCCCCTCATGTCCTCAACCAATCCTAATTTGACCGTCTGGTTCAGAGGGATTTTTACTTACAGTGTTTGGAAGCTGGAGTTGCATAAAGTGCTCCAGTGTTCCCGCCTGTAGTGTTCCCATCTGAGCAACGGGGAGCAACTCTGACCCGGTCCAATTAAAGTATTTCCAGTGTTCTGAGTCCCATCCCTGTCACAACTGGCAACATCAACTGCTGCAAATGATTCCTCAGACTCAGATCTCCTTCTCTTTTTACTGTCCTGGGAACTGATGAAAAATTAAATACAATTTCGTAAAGATCTAAACTCACAATAGTGTCCTGTTTAAATGTAAAATATGAGCCAGTTCAGTTTTATCTTTACATTTATTGTCTTAAGTTTTATTAAGGGCTGACGAGTCAAACTAAGAATAAATCTATCAATAAAAAGAGACAACAGTCTGAGAGAAGAAGTAATATATTATGCAAAAGATCAAACCATTTACACGTCTTGGTTTGAACTCTGATCATAAAATAGTTACATTTTATCCACTGAATGTCATCAAGTTAATCAAAAGTCAGCCAAACTGAACAATGCTGACATCTAATCCAGGATTATAACTGGACATTGTTGTTTTAATCCAGTTTTTAACTGAGGGTGCGGCGTTTCTGTTCGCCCTCTCATCTGTGATGAGTCACTGTAACTCATCTTAGTCTCATCTAATGTCAAACTTTTACAACACTGCAGTGTTTTTGGACCTATAATACCGTCATAAAACATTGGGGTGATGACAACCTTCTTCACTTCCAGCTTGACTGAACGTCTTCATAGAAACACTCAAATCAAACAAGATTTTAAAAAAGTTAGAGGAAGGAGTTGTTGCAATGACTTGAACTAAACCATTCTTAGATAATGAGATTTCAGTTCTTTCAGAATGAGATGTTTTTGGGCGTCTTGTCACTTTAAATCAAAATAAGCTGCTGCTTAACTCAACGTTTGCACTCGAACGTGAAAATAGCTGCAGGCAGATACACAATTATACAATCGTACATTTTTGAAAAGCAGAAGTAGAGCCTCCTGCACAACCAACAAGAACCCAGCAAGTTGTTTCTGGTTGGTTAGTCAACAATAAAACTCATGCCTTTTCCAGCAGCCATTGTACAGCGAATACAGTGGTAAAACCACCTGACCAGGCTCAAGCTCTGCCTGCTACGTAACGGGCGCAGTTCTGCTGGGGTTGCTAGGTAACGGCACAGTGCCTGTAAAATGTGAGTTGATATTTTTGAAATGGCTCATTTTCCAGACACCAAAAACCATTAATCTATATTTGTCTGTTTTCAGAAGCAGCCAGAACCCAAGTTGAAACATACATGTGAAATTTGCATAACAAATGCCTGTTAAAACGAAACAGACTTTGAAGGTTCTGTTTGAATGAAGCAGAACTTTTGAGATCAATATTCAAGCTAAACTCTTATCTTTTCCAGCAGCCATTGTACACCACATACAGCCAATCAAACGGTTTTAAAGGGGATCTTGAGTATTTCCCCAAAAATCCACAGACAGCCACATTTAAAAAACAAGAGTTTGCTTACCAGGAGACTGAACCCAGCACACAGTGTGAAGACGACGCAGGGAGGTTTTGGACCAGAACTTGGTCAGTCATGGTGGAGATATAGGTACTGGTTGGAGGTAAGGGTGGGGAAGGAGGTGTGGGTGGAGTGTAACCTTGCAAAATGCTTCCTGAATTCACGTAGTGTTTAGGTGGGAGGTTGGTGTCCTGATGAAGGGGTGGAACATGCGGATCAGGTGGAGTCCTAGACTTTACAGAAGAGTCTGTGAGGCCCAAACCACAGAACTGGTTGTGGGTCAGAAAATCAGAATGGGGTGTGCCGCCGCCATCTTTTAACCGACAGGAAGTGGGTTGAATGAGTCGGTCAGACTCGAGGGGAGTAGAGCCTCGATTCTTAAAGTGACAGTACGTTGGTGGTTGAAACACCTCTGGACGGATGGACCAACAGGACCGTTCATATCCGAGATCTGCCAAAAGGGGAAAACACAACATGCATTAAAAATATAAAAACAGCAGAAGCCTTTATAACATGCAGAGTAATGTATAACTGTGTTTTTATACTATTCTAACAATTATTCTGATGATTAATCAATTAATCAGATAAAAAATTGGCACATTCTGTATGTGTTTCATTTAATCACTTAAGTTTATTTTATAAAACATACAGAAATAAACTATAAACTTTACAGAAATAAACAATAAATTTTAAATAAGAAAATAAACATTTTATTACCTAAAATTACTAAATTAATTAATTATTGTTTTCATTCAGCAATTAATAATTGAATAGAAAAAGGTGCTTAAAGGGAGACTTTTTCATCTGAGTAATGAACATTTACAAATTTACAATTTTTTTTTATCTTAAATGCAAAATGTATGTTTTATGCAGTTTTGGCTTAATTACTACTCTGAATGTGTTGTTCTTTTGTCAAATTAAGTTTATTTTGAGTTTTTATACTCCATTTCATTATTTGATTACTAAATTGGTTGATGAGTATTTAAATTAATCACACTAATCAATTTAATCGTTCCAGCCAGACTGTATTTCTGTTAAAAAATGCATTATTATCAAAACAAAAACTACTGTAATGCTAAATTGAATGCATCTCGATGCATTACAAGTGAAAACAGGTTTTAGTTGCATGGGAAACAACAAGGGAAGGAAATTTGGCTTCTGTCATTCAACTGGATCAGTACAAAAACACAAAACCTTACAAATCCTTTTTGGTTCAGATGTTTTAGTACATTTGAAATAAGTCCAAACTAATTTAAAAGTAACTTTTCTGCAAGATGTAGGAACTTATTTTAGTAAATAATTCCTTAATATTGTTATTGAAAAGAGTTACTTTTTTTAAATCAATATTAAGAAATTATTTACTTTGAGCAAGTTCCTATATCTTGCTTTAAATTTACTTAAAAGTTAGTTTTGCCTTATTTCAAGCATATTAGGATATCTGCACTAGAAATCGGAGCAAAAATTGCTTAAGATTTTGCGTTTACATGTGTGTTAAAACCACCTGGTATCTGCGGAGGAGAACAGGCCTCCGAGTCGGGAGGAGACTCAGGAAGCATGCTGGAAAATAAAACAAAAACAAGCGAGACTCAGTGATGTTCGATCCGTCCGACACGGAGCCGTCTCCGTCTGCAATCTTCACTTATCTGACAACCAACTGGGTCAGTGTCAAATTATGGATGTTACATAACAGAGTATGTGCTCAGATAGCACAAAACCAATTCTCATTGTACTGTAGCTACAACAGGCTGATTCTGACCAAGTAAAAACTAACAAACAACACAAGAACACAAGGATTTCTGGGTATTCTTGGTTACCAAATATTAATTAAATTATTTTGTAAACTGTAGTTTTATTTACAGTTAATCCTGTTAATCCTTTAAGTGTTTTATTGGTGCCTGAATGAGCATCGATCAGTTCTTTGAAAGATTAAATGATCTTTGTCGGAGACTCACAAGTTGCTGGGGTCCATGTCGTTGCTGAGGTATTGCTCCAGGATGCTGGTGTCGACAGCAACAGAGCTGTCCAACACACTGCTGACGTCCTGACCTGGAAAGGTGCACAACATGGCGGATCAAGACTCACGCAGAGTGAAAGGAAACTAATATACATAACGCTATGATCACAGTTGGTGATTACTGTCACATAATTAAGAGGTTTTTTTGTCATTCTTCTCAATAAAATCAATTAGGGATTCACTGATATGAACATTTGGGCCAATAATAATAAATGATATTACATATATTTTCATACTCCTTCAACATCACCGACATGCTGACAATCCTGCACTGGTTCACTATCACCAACCATGTTTCATCAATTGATTATTGGATCAGAAAAGGTCGACAGAAATAGTCAAATTTGAAGAAACATCCTCGATTTCACAGAGAAAGTGTTTTGTGGTTAAAGCACTAAAAGGGAGATGGAAACACAAAGCAGTGAACTGAAACATCACCTTTACAATGACCAGCACAAGCTTCCTGAAGATTTCATGAACCTTGTTAGCATAATTTTAAGAGCGTAAAGAGTAGGAAGACCTGATCTGGCTATGAGTTCACCAACAAGCATCAAGAGTCACCTGCTTATCTCTCAAACCTCTTCTAAACCACCTCTTTCTTTGGCACTTAATGGTGTGTTGCATCTTTGAGACCAACCCTACTGAAATGAAAGGTCATTGGCAGACTAAGTTCTGCTTCCACTATATTCAGTGCAGTTTGTTTAGTTACACCTCAAAAGCCTTAAAAACGTCACGAGAGCAACTAAATCATGACAAACTGGAGTTCTCCAAAGACAGTTCTGGCTCCCTCCAAGGTCCCGTCACACATGCCACAACTATAACAGTCTATTAGTATAACCTAAAAAAAAAACACTTACACAATTCACCTCAACTTAAAAATCTTTTTGAGTGCCTGAAAACTTTCTGAACAACAGCCTAAATTCTTCAAGCACATGTCAAACACTTCTATTCACAGATGTCAGAAACTCTTGATACAATGGAGATACTCCCCTTCTCCAAGAACAAAGATGTAAAACTCCAGTCCTCGGGATCAAGTGTCCTGCAACCTGTGAAAGTGTCTCAAATCGAAACCAACTGACCTAATTATGGGATTCAGGTGTGCTGATATAAAGGTACTGGTCCCCAACTAGAGTTTGACATCAGTGTCCTTGAATCTCACTTTAGACTGAAGAAGATGAAGAAACGCTTTCATTTCTTGAGATCTGCCTTCAAAAACCTTCAGTACAAATTGAGAACTTTCCGTCACTCTTCCTGGACAACTCCTCAAAGAAACACCTGCTTATCGAAATACCAGAACATCCTTCAAATAGCCCAGCACTTTCCTTGTTTGAACGTAAGAGGGTTCAAAGCATTTGTGATCTCTTGAGGCTGAACTTTTTAACTAAACTTCAAGAGGACCTGCTTGTCCATGAAAAACAAAAACACATCAGTCTGGAAAATCCTTCAAACTATGGAGCGCCTCTTGAACCAATGTTGGATTCTCGTGTTTAGGAATAACTGGGACGTTCTTTAAAACCTTGTTTTGCAGCTGACTGATATTTTCAGGTATGCTGTGAAGATTTGTGGAACGTCTCACCGCTGAAGAATTGTTGCAGTGCTTCGTTCTCTCCAAGAACCTGGAGCGGTGGCCCACTGGGTCCAGGCTCCATGCTGCCATGCATGGGGCGTTGCTGCGCTGGAACGCGGAGGAGTCAGGAGGATCTCCACCTGCAGCTGCTGCTGACCACCAGACTGAGAATATTACAATGCAGTAAGCAGGTAAATATTGGGGATTTTTGCTTTAGGAGTCCCTGTGTTATTATGATCCATCACAGTTAGATAATGATCCAAAGTTCAACGTTAAAAAATGTTGTTAAATGTAAAGAAGCTCATAAATGGTATACGTTCCATCCTTATCTTGGTTTACAACAATCACCCAATGACCTTTTTACTTATATACTACCTACAACACAGATTATTCATCTATATTGTAGATGAATAATGTTGTAGATGAAGAATGGTTTAATACCTTTGGCTAACAAGAATAACAAACATACATTCACTTCTCCAAAAGACTCGTCAACAGTGTTACTTTCCATCTAAATCAATCAAATGTCCAGAGAACTAAAGACTTTCTGATGTACTGATGTTACCAAGAACGAATTAAGCATCAACTCTTAAAAATAAACCCAAAACAGGCGATGGAGGCTGTTTGTAGACATTGCTGGTGAGGTAAAAATGAAAAGAATCTGGAGGTGTCCATCGTCAGGTTCCTATCATCATGGTTCCAGAGCTGAAAGCCAAGCCTGATTATTAGCGTTTTAAAACAATGATTGGTGAAGAGCAATTATAACAAAGACTAAATCAACTTTTTGTTTCCCCCCAATATCTTTTCTTCAACATAAACAGTTCGGTGCGATGCTCAAATTTGGCTCTGGCAAACAGAGTGTATCAAATTTCCCTTCCTGGAACCTTTTTGTCATGATCCATGAGTCTTTGTGTTTGGTTTGGTTTTGAGTTTGTTTCCTGTTGGTTTATTATAGCTGTCTAGGTTGAGGTAATTTCTCTGTGTTGTTATTGGGGTTTTCAATGCAGCAGTGGATAAAACGCTAAATTTAAGACCAAAATTAACATAATTTAACACAAGTTATGAAAAATCAGACTGTTTTAAAACTTTTTCAAACTTTAAACTTAAATTTTACACGTTTTATGACACAAGGGATAAGAAGCAGTTTAATAAATCAAGATTGCATGAAATAAAGATGTAAAGCAAAAAGGCCTAATGATGCAGACATGCTAAATGATTGTGATGCTAGCAAAGTTAGCTTGTTTGTTAGTAGTGGCCTTTTAACATGAGATTGTTATTACAGTAAGTCCTTTTTTAGATATCTGTTATATTCCTTAGGTCTCTAAATTGCTTTTCTCAGTTTTAAACAGAGAACAGATTGTTTCCCAAACAGACAAATAAATATCAACACCAGCAAATCCTGCTGAATCCTGTTAGTAATCTTAACTTCAAGGACTGTATGTATTTTTTATCACAATATTATTAATGGTAGACGATGCCCAGATGATTGTCTTTAAAATAGTTTTATTGTTTCCTTAATAAAGCTATTTTAATAAATTGGTCATAACACTAAGCATAGTTTTGGTTGTATCTCAGTGTCATAACCTTTCACTAAGCTCTAAAAATTACATATTTTACTAGCACATTTTCATTTCCAGCTCTGGACATCACATTCTTCTGTTCAAACGTAACCTCATAACCTACTCAACACACCCCTCTGTAAACTTCCAGTGCAGAGTTCAAATTGCCTATTTGTCAAGCTGAGTACTTCAACTTTTAATATATTTTAAACTTTTGAATCAACAACTTCCTTTACAATCTGCTAAAACTTTCCCATCGGCAGCAAACAGCTTGATCAGACTATGGAAAACATTAATGTGGTTCATAAAAGTTACATTAAAGGTTTGATGTGGTTTTATGAACCACAATTTTAAGCAAATTGTGGTTCATAAAACCACAATGTTGCTTAAACTGCAGATGGAGTTCAAAGACCATTGACCAACTCCTAAAATCTTATTTTAATGTGACTAGTTAATTTTCTCTGCAGTCTTCAAACTTCAAACCTATAAATATTTGTGATATTTACGGTTAACGACATAACTATTTGCTAAAACTAAAAGAATCACAGTGATCTTTGTTTCAGCTGTAATGGTGAAACCATAAGGCAGATAAAACCTTCTTGTTTAAACAGAAACCATCTCAACATGTTTGCTCAAACACACCTGGTTTGTGTCCAAAATGGCTGCCAGCCAGTCGGACAGCGGCAAAATTTATCCGACCTGCTCGTCTTCAGGTACCATCCATGTGTGAGGGCGAGTTCAGCTCCAGAATCAAAGTTTCTACCAGTCTACCCAATGTCAAAACTCTTCTTGTGAGGTTCTAGCCGGTAGAGTCACTTCTTTTAGCTATTTTTAAAAAAATTGGTTAGTGGTGCCTGTCTGTGGACCGCCTGTGTCTGTGTCTGGACTTTGAGCTTTGAACAGAAAAAGGTAAAAGGTGTTCCCTCATCTAACGCAGTCATAAAACAGCCAGTCACTTTCCTGTAACACTAATTTACCTCCATTATGCTGTACTTCAGCGCAAGTATATCACTTATTGTGCTTTTTTAGCTGAAAAGAAACATGAAAAACCTGCAAAAATTTTGTTTTCTCAAATTAATATTTGATATATTCAAGTTGAAAAATTTAGTAACAAAGTATTTAGCAAAATTGAATTCCACATTCATCAAAGGTGAGTTGACTACCCAAAAAATTTACTCAAGAGTAGAACTACTTCAACATATTTTTAGTCAAATAAAAGTAAAAAGTAGCCGCCCAAGAAATTATTCAAGTAAGACTAAAAAGGATTTGGTAAAAAGTATTCAGTAACTGATCAAATTATCAAAATTACATATTCAGATTTTACCAAAATATAAAGAACCAAAATGACAATTAAAGCTGCAAGCAGCCTCGAACGGCCCTCGCAGCCAAGCGCCGCTCCGGCCTATTGCCACCGCAGGGTAAGAGCAACTGCCGCCTCACGCCAGCCACCACAGAAGCTCTCACGCAGTTTTCAGCTCCTCCGCCCGCACCGCGGAAGATGTTGCTCAGTTTCCATCAACGCTGGCCACGTGCTAACACAGAAGTTGTTGCGCACTTTCCGCGCCCGTCCACCAGGCGGTACGCACTGATGCGTTCGGATGCGCTCCTTGACGATGCAAAAAATGTGGTGCAGATTCATTGGTTTAGCGAGGAAATATAGCTGGCGGATTAATGTAGGACGCGCAGTGGAGTCAAAATATATTTCAATGCTGTTGTTCTCTTTAGAGGTCAACAAAGGTCATACGTATCCAATTTGGCGTCAGTCGGATGATCCACGTGTCATTTACAGCCGATCATATGCACATGACGAAGTATTACAGTTCGTCATTTTTCATCATTTTCAGCTGTGTTTCTAAAGAACTCTATTTCATTGTTGGAGTAATACTTACTCAGAGTGGCGAATTACTGAAATGGTTTGTAAGAAGTAAGAAAACGCTACATTTACTGCATGATTTAATTCAACAAAAATTATCTGAGACATTTCTATCCTTTTAGAAATTTCATGGCAACGCTCTCACAAAGTTTTCACGCCCATCCGCCCGTGGATCTGTTTGTCATTGGTGGAGGAACACTGACACCTACTGGCGAAATACTGATATTGTTCTTCATTCTGTTTATCTGCTGTTTCATTTGTGGAGCAATACTGACCCCAAGTGGCGAATTACTGAAATGGTTTATAAACGCCAAAAATGGGATCAAAATCTGAACTTCAATCTAAAATGGCTCACTTCCTCTAGGGTTTAGACCATGGCTCCAAGAGACTTTTTTGTAAGTCCTGACAAGGTACACACGTGTACAAAGTTTCGTAATTGTAGGTTAAAGCATGGCTTGGGGCTGATCATTTAAAATTTTCTAGGGGGCGCTATAGATAAATTAGGCCACACCCTACAATATTGTGATGGATTCCTGTCGGGGAGTGGATGAAGATCCATCCTTGTGAGTTTGGAGCAGCTGTGCCCAAAAATGTGGAATTGAGAGCCAAACGTATGGCGATGGCGTTACAGGTCACTTCGCCACGCCGCCACGCCCAGCTGCTCCATCGAAGCTGGTCGGGGTTGGAATCCTCAACACACCAACATGTCTTCTGTGTCTGGGCACAGTTTCATGTTGATGAGGTCAAAGGGGTCAGATAGCGACCGTTCAGAGTAAAACATGACACTTCCTTTTCTCAGGGGGCGTGGCCTAAGTGATGTCATCATTCGACCATAGGGTATTGTAGGACACCCGATGATGATCAATCACAGAAACTTTGGTGCCTCTGTGAGTTTCTGTGTAGGAGATATAGCAGTTGATTTTTTATGGGGAGTAGGTGAACTTTGACCCCTGCTAACCCCCCTTCAGCATTCTCAAAAACTCACCGTTTTGATAACTTTAGATGGGACATGCCTTATGAGCAAACTGACCGAGTTTGAAGCCGATCAATCGAAATCCCTAGGAGGAGTTCGATCAAATAGGAAGGCTGTAAACGGCAAAAATGGGGTCAAAATCTGAACTTCAATCTAAAATGGCCGTCTTCCTGTGGGGTTTCGACCATGGCTCCAAGAGACTTTTTTGTAAGTCCTGACAAGGTACACACGTGTACAACGTTTCGTAATTGTAGGTTAAAGCATGGCTTGGGGCTGATCATTTAAATTTTTCTAGGGGGCGCTATAGAGAAATTAGGCCACGCCCCACAAATATTGTGATGGATTCCTGTCGGGGAGGTGATGTCGATCCATCCTTGTGAGTTTGCAGCAGCTGGGCCCGAAAATGTGGAATTGAGAGCCAAACGTATGGCGATGGCGTTAGAGGTCACTTCGCCACGCCGCCACGCCCACCTGCTCCATCGAATGTGGTCGGGGTTGGAATCCTCAATACACCAACATGTTTTCTGTGTCTGGGCACAGTTTCATGTTGATGAGGTCAAAGGGTCAGATAGCGACCGACCACAGTAAAACATTACACTTCCTGTTCTCAGGGGCGTGGCCTAAGTGATGTCATCACTTGACCATAGGATATTGTAGGAGACCCGATGATGATCAATCACAGTAACTTTGGTGCCTCTGTGAGTTTCTGTGTAGGAGATATAGCAGTTTATTTTTTTATGGCGAGTAGGTGAACTTTGA